CAACCAATGCTTCAACTCTTGAAGAGCACATCGCAAGCTTAACAAAGGTTATTGAAGGGCTCGCAAAGAAGGTCGAAGAGCAAGACTCTCAAATCTCGAAGCTAATAGACTAGCGTTCAATCTGGAAACAAGCTGCGAAGCCTCCGAATAACGTTAGTAAATTCAAAACCGGCGTGAAGAAGATTCGAGATCAACTTTGCGGCGAAGACCAAGGATTCGTGTTCTTCGCGTTCTTGGGATATTTTGACGTTTGATCTGGGAAAAAGCTTGCAAACCCTCGGATTACGTTAATTCAAGTCAAATCAAGTCAAGGAGAAGATCAAGCCGAAGATTTCGCTCCAAGACTTAATATATTTTTCGTGAGAAGAATCAGAGGAATATATAGAGATTGTAACCCGCAATATTTATTTTGATTCAATAAATTCATTTGAATAATATTTTTCGTGTTTTTAAATTCAATTCACGAAATTTGTTGTTACAAATTTTTATTTGTAGATACATAAAAATTGTGTCCAATCAAATCCCGCCACGTGGAAATTAATTTATTAAAAATCAAGTTATATTTTCTATTTATATTTTAGGAATTTCCACATATTTAATTCCTAAATTTAAATAGTTAATTAATTGATATTTTAATATTTTAATTCTTGACCAATCAAATAATGCCAAGTGTCAAATCCTTATTCTTGGTAAATAAATCATATCTTCTAGAAGATCTTGGAAGATTTAAGTGGATCTAGAAGATCTTGGGAGATCTAAATAGATCTTAAAGATCTTATGTGAATCATCATGGACCAATCAAATCGCGTCCTACGATTCTTAAATTTGGTAGGGTGCTCTCTCCTACACCTATAAATAGGGACTCTCCCTAATGTCAAAAACACATCATAATTCATATTTTGAAGTTGAAGAGCTCTAGAGAATTCTCTCTACAAGTTTCAAGTGTTCTTGAAGATTCGAAGCCGTTCTTGAAGATTCGAAGGAAGATTCAAGCACATTCAAGCTCAAAACCGACGTTAAATCCGGAAACAAGCTGCCAAGCCTCCGAATTACGTTCGTATTCAAGTTCAAGTTCAAGATCTCTCGACGAGATTCAAGTGTTCTTGAAGATTTAAAGGCATTCTTGAAGACTCAAAGCAAGATTCAAGTGCGTTCAACCTCAGGACTAGCGTTCAATCCGGAAACTAGCTGCGAAGCCTCCGAATAACGTTAGTAAATTCAAAACCGCGTGAAGAAGATTCGAGATCTACTTTGCGGCGAAGACCAAGAATTCGTGTTCTTCGCGTTCTTGGGATATTTTGACGTTTGATCCGGGAAAAAGCTTTCAAGCCCTCGGATTACGTTAATTCAAGTCAAATCAAGTCAAGGAGAAGATCAAGCCGAAGATTTTGCTCCAAGACTTAAAAATTGTTTGTGAGAAGAATCAGAGGAGAAAATAGAGATTGTAACCCGCAATATTTATTTTGATTCAAGAAATTCATTTGAATAATATTTTTCGTGTTTTTTTAAATTCAATACACGAAATTTGTTGTTACAAATTTTTGTTCTCCCACTGGGCGTGCCAAAAATTTGTAACAACAAATTTCGTGAATTGAATTTAAAAAAAAACACGAAAAATATTATTCAAATGAAATTCTTGAATCAAAATAATATATTGCGGGTTACAATCTCTATTTTCTCCTCTGATTCTTCTCACAAAAAAAAAAAATTAAGTCTTGGAGTGAAACTTCGGCTTGATCTTCTCCTTGACTTGATTTGACTTGAATTAACGTTAATCCGAGGGCTTGAAAGCTTTTTCCCGGATCAAACGTTGAAATATCCCAAGAACGCGAAGAACACGAATCCTTGGTCTTCGTCGCAAAGTAGATCTCGAATCTTCTTCACGCCGGTTTTGAATTTACTAACGTTATTTGGAGGCTTCGCAGCTTGTTTCCGGATTGAACGCTAGTCTTGAGGTTGAACGCGCTTGAATCTTGCTTTGAATCTTCAAGAACGCCTTTAAATCTTTAAGAACACTTGAATCTCATCGAGAGATCTTGAACTTGAATTTGAATATAAACTCAATTCGGAGGCTTGACAACTTGTTTCAAGATTAGACATCGGTTTTGAGCTTGAATGCACTTGAATCTTCTTTCGAATCTTCAAGAACGACTTTGAATCTTCAAGAACACTTGAAACTTGTAGAGAGAATTCTCTAGAGCTCTTGAACTTCAAAATATGAATTATGATGTGTCTCTTTGACATTAGGAAGAGCCCCTATTTATAGGTGTAGGAGAGAGCACCCTACCAAATTTAAGAATCGTAGGACGCGATTTGATTGGTCCATGATGATTCACATAAGATCTTTAAGATCTATTTAGATCTCCCAAGATCTTCTAAATCCACTTAAATCTTCCAAGATCTTCTAGAAGATATGATTCATTTACCAAGAATAAGGATTTGACACTTGACATTATTTAATTGGTCAAGAATTAAAATATTAAAATATCAATTAATTAACTATTTAAATTTAGGAATTAAATATGTGGAAATTCCTAAAATATAAATAGAAAATATATTTGATTTTTAATAAAATAATTTCCACGTGGCGCCATTTGATTGGCCACAAATTTCATGTCTCTACAATATGATGATGCATTATTCTTTGAGTATGTAGATACAAGTGCCAATGGAGAGGTTGAGTCAGAGTCTTTGCGATAGTGATAATTAGGATGTATTTGCTAATCTTGTTGAGCTAGATGAGTTAGTAGTGAAAATGAGCAAGAGCTAGAGCCTCTTGTATTCAATCCTATCCTGAATTTATATTTGATCCTTTATGTGAGTTGGAAATGGTTTTTGCAACTAAATAGGAATTTAAAAGGGCCATTCAATCGCTTTTAATGAAAACAAACATGACTCTAAGGACAATTAAAAATGATAAGGTTAGGATCTATGTATGTTAGATGTGATGATGAAGGTTGTAATTGGAGATGTAATCTTATATAAATGAAAATGAAGGGTCAATTTAGTTACCAAATTAAAGAGTATAATTCCAATCATATATGTCATGGGACATTAAGTCTAGGTGGCTGAGTGTGAGGGGGAAAGAGTATAATTCCAATCATACATGTCATGGGACATTTAAGTCTATGTGGCTGAGTGTGAGGGGCTAAAGACTTGATGTAATTCATGAGCTTAATGTGAATATTTCAGGCTTACAGGGCTTAGAGAAGAGCCATGAATGTTCTTTAGGGATATTCCTGATTATCAATACTCACAGTTATGGGATTATGGGATCATGTAGAGGAGTTCAGATCTTCCAATCTTGGTTCAACAATGGTATTAACAACTGAGAAGGTGAGCAGCGAGTCGTGATGAGAGATTCAGTAAGTTTTATGTTCATCGCACATGACAGTAGCAAAAAAAAAAAACCGATAGTACCAACAAACCATTTAGAAATGTTTCAGTCGCAGCTTCTACCAACATGAACATTGAAATACAAGAAAGAAAAGAAACTAATTCAGATGTCATAAAACAAAAAAACCAGTAGCTTAGCTTATCAACATAGAAATGATCTCTCAATATGTTGCAACAACAACATTATCTGAAAGAAAAAGATAACATGATACTGCTTACTTGGGTTGAAAACGAAAACGAAAACGAAATGTGGGTGAAAAATCTAAAATCTTCAGAAACAAATTTAAGGAAAAAAAAAAGAGAGAGAGAGAGATCCCTGAATAGCTGATTTTCAGTCATCGATGCCAACATCACCCCACTTAACATTGTATCGGGCTGCAAGGTAATGAGCTCCAACTGGACCTCGACTCCCATAAGGATAGTACTCTGGGATTATTTTCCTTTCTTCGAGCTCTTTCAAAACAGGTGTGAAGAGCCTCCAAGCAGCATCTAATTCATCACTCCTAATAAAAAGTCTCCTTTCACCTTCGATCGCGTCTAGAAGAAGTCTCTCGTACGCATCTGGTATCTCTTTCGAGTATCTGACAGGACACAATTATTTGAACAATTTACATATGCTGACAGGAGAATATTCATACTAATGAATTTTCCAAGCAAGGAAAAACACAAGAAATTCTGAGTAAGTAGCTTATTAATAAACAAGTTAGCACATGGAGTACATAAACTAATTTACAGAGGACTTTAAATTAGCCACAACGCTTATTCTCCTAGAAAAAAGGACCTTAAATTCTCAGGTCAAATTATATTAGTTCACTAGTAAAGAACTAAGGACTTTAAATTAGCCACGAAGCTTATTCTCCTCAATTCCAGATTTCTAAAGAATTAGAGATATCGTGCTTAAGGAGAATCCTAATTGAAGTAGAGCAAAAGTTAAAAAAATCTGGCGAAATCATAAAACTACAGAAAACTATTCCATCCTACAGAGTACAATGTGTATTCTAAGTATCATAAAACCAAAGCAAACAATTACAACTGATGGTCTACTTAAATAGATCATAATTTGTAGTGATATTACTCAAGTTGTTTGTAGTGATATTGAGTTGGACAATCCGCCATGAATGATCCGCCATACAAACGAATCAGAGGTTAGAGAAATTTGTTCCACATTTGGTTGAAATTTGATTTTCACACGGGATGGTTTTGTAGGCCGGAAGTTAGAAGATAGAATCTGGGGACATCTTCGTAAGTTACCATTTATGGTATCCCACATATGGGGGGTGGGATGTGGTATAAAGAATTGTCGGATAATTCACCAGGCCAAGAGCAGTTTTCAAAGCTTTTTAGCAACAAGCCAACCACTAAAAGTTTGGCTGATAAGAATGCAACACTATATAGATAATGATATTTAATTATTTATATAGAAATACCTTGCATTATAAAGAAGATTAAGATTACTTCGGTCCAATCTCATCCCCAATCCTGGAACTTTGTTATTGATCTTCAGATAAATAGCTTCGTCAGGTTGAATACGAATCACGAGCTCATTTGTCGCTCGGTCCAGATCAGTACCAACGTTCCGGTTGTATAAATTACCAGGAACATGTCTAAACTGCACACGTATTTCAGCCCTGCCAAGGTTTCAGCAAGCAATCTATAAGAAATCAAGTTCACGACGAAATGCAAAGTTCAGAACATACAACAAGATCTTTTCCTGCAAAAATAACATTCGCTAACCTCTTATCATGTAAGGCTTTCCCTGCTTTCATTAGGAAAGGCACCCCATCCCATCTTGCATTATCTATAAAGAGTGCAGCCGCAGCAAAAGTTGGGGTTAAACTGTCTTTCGGCACTGTTTTGTCATCAGTGTATCCAGGGTGAGAGACACCTCCACGTGTGTTACTTTTGTACTGTCCTATGACGACATTATCAACACTTAGAGGCCTCATGGAGCGCAAAACCTTAACCTGTCGTGTACAAAGAATTTATTATAGTTCTATAACGAAACCAAATGAAGCAAAAAAAGTACATATTTTAAAATATTAAAATGCAGATGGGCGAGAGAGAGAAAGAGAGAGTGCCTTTTCATTTCTGATATCTTCAGCGTCCAAACTGACGGGTGTCTCCATGGCAAATAGGGCTAGTATTTGGAGCAGATGATTTTGCATAATATCTCTAATTATCCCGTAATGATCGAAATATCTGGTACAACACAAGAAGCATTTACAATCAGAAAAGTTCCCAAATAATACTTGTTCCGGTGACCAATTGAAAAGACCAATTTACCCTCCTCTTCCTTCGGTGCCGAAGTCCTCTGAGAAAATCAACTGAACATTTCTTATATATTGCCTCGACCATAGGGGCTCAAATATAAGATTTGAGAAACGTAGGACTGAAAGATTCTCCACAAGCTCTTTACCAAGGTAATGATCTATCCTGTAAGCAAAGGGCAAAATAAAAGGATAAAATTATTATAAGCATGTCAAATACTTGATAATTCCTTCACTTGGATATAACAAAGTCACCTGAAAATTTGATCCTCCTCTAAGTATTGCTTTAGAGCACAAGTCAAAGCAGCTGAGGATTCGGAATCACGCCCGAAAGGTTTCTCAACAATGACTCGAGTCCAACCATTAGACGCCGAGGCAGAGAGACTGGCACATTTCACAGCATCAACAAATATGTTTGGTGGGATTGATAAGTAAAATAGCCGGTTTGAAACCCTTCCATCCTAAAACCAATCACATTTTTATTAAAAAAAAGTAAAAAAGAGAAGAATTTTACTACAGCCATCACAATGACGCCTACATTGCAAAAGGAATTGGTATCCCATTCTTGACATAAGACGTTTCTATCGTATGAATATTATCATTATTATTACAAGTCACTGTAAATGATACTAATCCTGTGTGTTTGCATGTAAGATTATAATTAAAAGCCTACGATTGAGTTTCTAAAAGCATCAAGTCACAAATATAAGAAGTAATATCAGAATTAGTCAATTGTAGATCCACACAATTGGTCAAGGAAGCTTTTCTCGAAATCATTTGAAAAATCACCCATGGATAGTTACAAATCTCAACGAAGACATAGTCAAAACAGAAAAGAGAAGAAGATTTGTTTCAAAATTAGTCCAAAAGCATGTATGAGTTACACAATACTGAGTGCCAACTATTACACGAATGTCAGCAAAAACTAGTGAACACATCTTCAAAACATAATACCTCATGCTCCTTGAGCTTCGCATCAAGCTCCACAAAATTTTCCAAAGAATCATATTGACCAGAGTGGTAGAAACATCTTTTCAAGAACTGTTCCATCTTTTCTCCACAATTTTCCCTGAATAACAACTTTATTTTAAAATTTGAAAAGGAGTGGCAATATTACATCACAAGCAAAATGTGAACCGAGGAACTACCTCTTATCTATTCTGCAAGTTAGTGTCTTGCTAACCATATTTCGTAGTTCTGCATCAGTCATATTACTACGAGCATAACCGAAGATAGTAAAGTGCTGAGACGATTAGGGAAAAGTAAAAATTACATATCACTTGCAGACAAATCTAACTGCTTTGTGCATGAAAAAAATGAGGCATGGTAGCATAAATGTGAAGCAGACCTGAGGAAGGCAGTCCTCGTAATAAAGTGCAAAAAGGGCAGGAAATATCTTTTTCTTGGCAAGGTCTCCAGAAGCCCCTACAACAGTAATACTAACAGTGGTAGAGTTATCGCCATTTACATCTGCATCTTGCAGCTTTTTGCTTGGGTCCTCTGGAGATGAAATGGATATCAAGCCCTCTTTCGGTTTCACATGAGAAGCTTCATTGCTTGTAGCCTTTTTAGTAGCCACAACACCTAGGATTTTGCAGGACTTAGTAGCTAATATGAGAGAATACAATGTTACAGATTTAACTGCATATAGTATTGCAATTTGTATCATAATCACTACACAAAATTTAAACAAGGGGACAAATGAGCAACAATTCTTAGAATGAAGTAGTGCAACATTGTTACGATTCATCACGTTTTCTTCTCTCTCTCTCTCTCTCTCTCTCTCTCTCTCTCTCTCTCTCTCTCTCTCTCTCTCTCTCTCTCTCTCTCTCTCCCTAACTATCTGTGTGTGTGGCATGTGAGCTGCAGTAAGTAAAAGAGCGAAAGCTGAAATTTTACGAATTTCTGGCAACATAGCTATCTTTTTCAATCTTCTGAATTCTAACAAATTTCAAATGGAACACACATATCTCAGTTTATAATTTCTACAAAATCAGAATAAAATAAATCAATAATAAGATAGTGATAACAGAAAATAAACCAGTAAAACGGGAGAGAGAGACGGAGGACGAATCATTAAAAAACCTAAAATTGCTGAGTTATAGCATTAGTTTACCAATTTTAACAAAGAAAATAGACAGCAAGAAACAGGTGAATAAATTCTAGGCTACACAAACCAACCATCTTGCATGGCAATCACATCAGACAAAGAGCTGCACTTGGATTGCAGATTATAAGCTTTTGGGCCCAATTTCTTCTGAGGAGTCACTGAACAAGAAACATTTTTGTGAAGCTGATGAAACCCAATCGAATAAGTGGAGGACGAAGTTGATGAAAAAGATGAGCAGTGGTCTGACGAAGGTACAGCGGCCATCATCTCAACCTTTTTCTTCGAAAAATTTCCTGTTAGGAACAAGAGTTTAGTAGTATCAATTTCATTACATTAGACTTTCGTTTTTCAATTAAATCGGGACTTCCGTAATTCTTGACAGGCAATGTACAAAAAATAGGGACGACGAAGAGAATTCATCCGAGAAGATAGCTAACCGGCGACAGCAGGGGGGATTAGTTTCGACGGCGAGGAGACGAGGTGGCGAGCGCGAGGCGGCAAGACGGCGAGCGGTGAGGCGACAGCTTCCATTTTCAATCTCGTGGAGGTGGGATAACTGGGAGCCGATCTGGCCGTCGGAGACGCAATAGCCGGAGAGCTGCAACCGGAGTTGGTGAGGGAGGGCTAGAAGGGGACTTGGTCGAAGATGGTGGCCGGGAAGACAACGATTTAGCCAGTTTTGACTTGCACACTCGACCTCGAGAACTCCGAAGGGCTGTATTTTTCTGCATACCGTTTGGGCTTTGTCAAAAGACTCGACCAAATGAGGGACGAGCACGAGCTACATTTTTTTATTATTATTTATTATTATTATTATTATGTAATAATTTTTGGGCTAAATTGTTGTCATAATATTAAAAGGAGATTCTACGGTCATGTTACGGGACTATTCTGTCGAGATTCTACGGTCATGTTACGGGACTATTCTATCGAGTTTATAACTGTTAGATCAACTATTCACTACAGTTACATGATGATTTAAGGGTTAAAAATTCCGACGGAATGATTTCGTAACGAGATGTAGCATTTTCCAATATTAATATTAATATAATGCAGACCTTGTGGTCTTTTTAGAATTATGAAAACAACTGAATTGATTTTGCAATTACTTCAAAACCTCGAGGTCACTTTACTATAAATTAAAACAAAAAACCTTCTATTTTCAGAAGCTCAACACTGTGTGTGCACACATTTCAAGAAAAAAAAAATGGAAGCTCTATTGAACTCGGAACGAATCCTACCTCCGATTGCAACCCTGAGAATCAAACCCGCAATCAACCCTACGACAACCCTTTTCCGGCTTCCCCTTCCGCCGTCGACACGATGTCGTTCGATCAAATCCGTTCTGGATTCAGCTGCCGTCGACGAGCTGTCCGATGTCCGCAATCCGTCGGTCTCGACGTCTTATCGAAATCCAAGGATCTCAAGGCCCAATCAGACCGTTTTGGATGCGCAGACGAAGGTCTGCACGGGCCCCACTCAAACCAAGCCTCTCAATGCGGAGCAAGCTTTCAAGGTTCTCGACACCATTTTGAAATCCGGTACGTGTCCAGTTTATTACTTGTTGTTGTTATGATTTTGAGCTGCTTCCTTTTATTTTTGTTGAATATGGACCACAATTTGTGAGGGATGAGAGAATCAATGGGTGCAATAACAATATTGACCGCATTTTTTCAGTTAAGGGAGAGCTCAATGATGAAAATGAAGTGTCGAAAGCACAGCTTGGAGCGTTTTTTGCCGCCATGACGATCCGGGCAAACGCTTTTCCCGAGCCAACTCAGTGGAGTGAAGGCGAGAGGTGGGCCATGACTTATTTCTGGCCCCACTTAGTGCGCGTGCTGCCTCCTGATATTATTTTCTTGGCTGATCCCGAGGAGTCGATCATGGGGGTCGGAAGCTCGATCGGGCCCCGGTTTGTGGGCAATGGGACCTCTGAAATGAGGCTTGTGGGTGCCCTCAGGGAGGTT